ATTTTTAGCTTAGAAACCATACCCACTTTGCTTAATAAAACTTTGAGATACCCTCCATTAAAGTTTTAAAAACAATATATAGTAAATTACTTGAAATGCAGATCTTTTTTTTTAAATTTTCTCAAAACATCATTTTCACAACATGGTCTGTTTCTATTGTCCAGACCCCATATATTAAAATCAGTCACTGTGAAATGTCATCCGACTAATATATAAAAAATTTCAATTATACGGAATAATGAGGTTTATTATATAAATTCATTATAACGAAATCTTTTATTTAATAAAAAAAAATAGGGATAAGATTTTGTTTGGTATAACAAAAATCTATTATAACGAGGTCCGTTATAACAAGGTTTGACTGTAACTGAAAAATAGGATTTATTGTTTTTAAATAAAATCATTAATTAATAAATTTTTTTTGATAAAAATAAATTTAATTTTATAGTGATTGAAGTGGCTGACCAACCAGAGGTTGCAGACAATTACAGGCAGCTGCTGACAGCTGCAGCAATCGCAGACTTACAGCAGTTGCAGCATTAGGTGTCAATATTTTTTGGGGAGTTGCAACTTCCTAGTTGCAGAGCCATCTTTACTCTTTATGCCCTTTAAAGTATTGAGAGTTTGATTTATTTATGCATTACTGGCCAAATTTAACCATTACTTTCATGTTTGAGGATAGTAGACATGTAAGTCTTCACATAAAACAGCCAGATATTTTGAATAGCTTGAGATTCAATACTAGACAGAGCAGAGGTTGCAATTGATCGAAAATGAGAAAGCTATTGAGTTGGTCAAGATAGAACATATTATGGTATCTGCTTTTTCACATAACATATGACTTTCTTGCTATAATACACTATCTTTCTAAATAATTTTGATATATATGTTACAGGTTTCTCACTTATGGAATAATACAGAAGTGATGGTGAAGATTTACCAATGCATTTTTGATGGCTTTATAGAATTTAGTAATGAAACAATAAGAATACCAAAACACACATTAGAACCTGATTGCGAAAGTGAAAGTAATTCTTGTAAAAACAGAAACCTGTGAGTATCTTCACTGTGAATGTATAGTTAGATATTTAAGATTTCTAATTTGTTCTTGTTCATTAAAGTCAGCATTGAATGATCCCAAAGAGTTTTCTCCTTATGTTTCCAGGGATGATAATACACCACCCTCTCTATACAACAATGTATTTATTACTGAATCCTATAAAAATGCTTTGAGTGATTTAAAAGAAATTGATACAGAAATTGGTGCAACCCAAGATGATGAAGAAATCAGAAACCTTACTGAGGTAATTTGAAATTTATCATTACTACCTTCTATGTATAATAATAACTGGGCTCACTCCGACTTAATAATTTCTAGCATTAGGTGCATATCTGTAACAAATTATTAAATGTCTTGCTTGCACACAAAAACAAAGAAAAACAATCTGGAAAAATTTTATGTCATCAATACCCCTCAACAACATCATAGATCTTTACCGATAAAGAAATATATGAAGCAATTAAAAGTATTTTGAATGATGATCAACTTGAATTCCACAGAGGAGTTCTTCAAAAACAGATTTGGGATCAGAGCAATGAATTCAAGCATTATATTAACCAATTTACTGAAGACAAATGTAATAGAGTTCATGTCCCGACTCTCATCCATAATATTTATATTTCCAGTAGATTTGACTCCAGTTTTCATGAAGCTCATGACATAGCTCAACATATAATGATACATTGGTAAGTGCTTACTTTATGTGTTAACCAATTCTTCACACTACTTACTTTATATGAATAGTTCTGTTTGCTTGAAAGCGCCTGCTACTTGTGGATCTGATTTCTTTCATCTCGAACGAACTTACACAGTTGACATAGTGGTTTACATTCTCAATAGACTATTTCGAATGCACAATGATGTACTGGATGGTGGATGGCAAGTGTTATTATGATTTCAAAGTATTGACAATCGTATCTGCTAATAATTCTATTCTGCTCAGGATCAAACTGACAACTCCCAACACTAAGAGTCATAAAATTGATGGAATTTCTAAAGCAATCAAAATGAAAAGAAAAAATCAAGCTATGATAATCATTGAATGTTCAAAATGTCAAAGATGCCTGAGTCTAAAAAATACAATGATTATGATAAATTATGTAGGAACTCAATACGACTATTAAACAAAGTATTAGAATATGTACCAAAAAATTATGCATGAATATATCTCGTACAATGTACTGGTGTGTATTGTGGATAATAGTAAAACACACATACACACACATATATATGTAGTATATATATATATTTATTTATTTATATGATTTTCTTCATAGGTGGTTACCTGGTTCATCCTCTTCCATCAGTCTATTTACTTAACCAGTTCTTACGTGTAAAAATATCTGTAACCTTCAACGATTTCGAAGATTTTTCAAAAGGAATGATTGATCTTATGAACTGGCAGGTATGGGCTTGAAAGATGTATATCTCTTTGCCGGATATTTATAGTGACTGCTCTTGTTATTTCAGACTGATGTCCTGTTAACAGTTAAGAGGATTAATAAAGCTTGTGAAATTAAAAATGATGGAATACACATAACTCCGATACAAGATACATCACAAAAGGACAAGACAAGAAGTGAAACTAAAAAAGCGACTAATGACAATAATGATAATTTCCCACCTTCGCCAAGCCCTGGCTTGCCGTATTCTGAATTATCATCAAATTCGACCCTTTTGTGACATGATGTCTTAAACGCGAATCAAGTCATGTTGAATTAAATGGCTTTAATCTGTCCTATATTATTCAGACCAAGGAGAAGGGGCGATAGTTGTTTATTTACAAAAGTTATTTTTGTATCTACTATTTGCTTTAGTGCTCTATAGAAAATTAAATCAATTTATGTTTAGCCAACAAATGATGGACCATACGAAAAAAATAATGCTTTTTATTTGCTATCTGCTTTATCTGCTTGCCTTGCTGAACAATACAAGAATTAATACCCTTAATATTATTATCATACAATCAAATGTAGGGTTGCCTTTCGAAACTTTTGGTCATTTTCTAAATGATTTCTAAACTGCTTCTAAACGAGTTTCGAAGGGGTTTTAATAATGTCTAAACTAGTTTCGAAGAGCTTCGAAAATTTCCTAAACTAATTTTTGGATTTCGAAAGGCAACACTGATCAAATGTCATTCACATTAACCATAAAAGAAATCAACATTAATTTTATCAGAACAAAATAGCAATAAAACTACGCCTCATGAATACAAAGAATTTAACAAGGTATTATTTCCAGGTATGGATATTTTATCAAACGGCTCACATTTGGTTACATAATTAGATTTAAAGCCTCAATAACATAAAAAAGACATTTACTATGATGGATATGGGCGTGGGGATCACATAATATAAGAAAAAGATCGTTGAGAAAATGCCAATCTTTGATGGCGAAAACATTGAACCAAAGAGTACTATTTATTGGAGAATAAAACATTGCATTTATTTGTAGCGATTTTTACAACAAGAAAAGGATAGCAAAAATGAAATAATAATAAAAACTTCAGTCTCACAAAATTTAAACTTCTTTGGATGTGTGTTATTTAGAAACATTTGTGTTTTCGCCATGCAGTAAGTCATAAAAAAGTTGTCTATTTTGCCAATTATGATAGAAAATAAAAAAGAAGTTAGATGGATTAGATTAAATAGCCAACCTTACTAACGAATAATTTTGGTTATTGATTTGATATTAATGATTTGTAGGATAGTTGTTTTACTCAAGCCGAGCCTTGTTATTATTTTCTTTTATTCAAGAAGTATATATAACTTGGAATATTTAGCGTATTAATATATATTAATATGTTAATTAGAGAATGCACAAACATTTTATTTGCGACACGAAATAATAAAATTGTACTTCAGTCACTTGTCACTTTTTAGCGAAATTTTAACGTAATAGTTTCGTCGGACAATTTGTCTAGCTTGATGATTAACCATGATCATTGATTTCCTGTCTCAATTAACGAACTTATTTAACAAACAAATTTTAATGGAGTTAATTTATCAGATTTTTAATAATAAATACTGATATAAAAAGTTACAATAAAATCAATTTATTTGATTTAATAAATATATAACAAATGATAAAGAAACGTGGTAAATTTACTGAGATGTACCACACAAAAACCGATAAAATCTAACCAAGAATCCCCATAATCCCCATAATCCACAGAATCCACAGAATTTCCATCTTCCGGTTTTGCGGACTGGCCTAACGGATCCTTCTTCTGAACCATCATCACTACTAGTTGATGGATTATAAACTACTACATTTTGCTTTTTCAAATCTTCAAGCTCATTTTCTAATTTTTCTATACCCGTCATGTACTCTTTTATTCTAACATTCATTTCAACTAAATTTGGTGGATAATAAATGTTTCCACAAGTATTTAAGTGGTTGAATATTTTTTTTCTTGATTCTTCTCGAGTTTCTTCTGCACCTTCCTTAGTACGATGTGTTATTGGTGGATTATCTACATGAATAACCTTTTTACATTCTTTAATTATTGTAGAAAGTTTGTCATTTTCCTTAATCATATCTAAACGATCTTGTTCACACTCAGTATCATCTTCAAAATCTGGAAATTTAGTTCTAACTATAGTTGTAAAATTAACAATATCTCGACCAAAAATAACTGTTTGTAACAAATAATAAGCTTCAATTTCCTCTTCCCTAAATCTTCCATCGGTGACAAATAAAATTTGGTTAAATCCGCCTTTAATATCACAGACAGTTTCTGCAAAGTTATATAATATTTCTTGAGGGGTTAACCTTCTATCACCAATCCCCATTGTATCAATTGCTTTCATATTATTATTATTATTGATTACATTAGCTAAAGTAGTTTTTCCACTTCTTTTTCTACCAACTAATAATACTGTTGTAATCCTGACTTCTTCATTTGAAGATGATTCATACTCAAATGAGGTTAATAATGCGTAATTATTTTCGGCTTTTTTATTTGCGTTCAAAAATGCCATTTTTTTTTTATTTGCGTTCAGAGATGCCATTTTTTTTTTATTTTCACAAATTAAAAAAAGCCAATATGTGTGTGTATATATATATATATCGTTGATTACAAATACTAATTTAAAGGAGGATAAATTTTAGTCCTGTTTTAGTCTAATAGAGAAACTTATCTTTTCATTATGACGTAAATGGTATCGTAACAATATGTATGACAGAGTAGGGCTAACAGGAATTAAAAAAGTTTTGCACAGTTACAGCATTGGGTTTTTCTGTGAATCTCTTTATTTTTTTTAAACAAAAAAAAAGCAAGGGGGTGAAATTCTCGTTTGAAGGTTGAAAAATTTGTTCATTCATCCACCTTCCCAAATAAGGGCTCGTTTACGGTTTAGGATTGAGGAATTTGGTCATGACTTTATGTACTACCATGCTTTCCTTCAGCATAGTTTTAATAATTGAGCAACTAGTTTCACCTGATGCTTTCCTGGAACATGAAATGTAGTTCGATATAAAAGTTTATGAGAGGTATGCTTTTTGATTGAAAAATGACTTTTGGGTTGCTTTAAAAATTCAGTTGGATTTTGCGGAAATGAAAACTCAATTTTAATTGAAGGACCTTAGAACTAGTTTTACTATCATCCCATGTATTTTATTTTCATTTAAAATGACAAAACACAAAATAAAAAAAAATATAAAATACATTTTTTTTATTTTTAAAAAAAATTGATATACATATGTTTTAGGAAATAAAACATTTATTATTATTATTATTATTATCTTTTAATTCCTTAATTACTTCTTCGAGTTCTCGTTGTTTCTTACTTGCAGCTTGTCGTTGTTCGTCTCCTAGTTCACTTGTTTCATCCAATTTTTGTCTCAGATCATTTATATCATTCTGTAATTTTTCTTTAAGTGTCATATAACCATTTATTTTTTTATCCACAATGTCTTGTAACTTTTCTGACATATAAACTTTTGTGCAGGTGCTTAAATAGGCCAGTAATCGTTTTCTTGATTCTTTTCGGGTCTCTTCTACGCCTTGTTTAGTACGAAATGTTATTGGTGGATTATCTACATAAATGACCTTTTTGCATGATTTAACAAGTTGAGAAAGGTTATTATTTTCAGAAATCATATCTTGGTAATCATTTTCACATTCAGCATCATCTTCAAAATCAGGAAAACTTGTCCTGACAATAGTAGTATACTCAAAAATACTTTTATCAAAGGCAACTGATTGTAACGTTTCAAAGTTTTCAATTTCTACATTGGTAAATCTCCCGCTTGTGACAAACAAAACTTGATTTATTCCATATTTAATAGCTTCAGCAGCCATGACTAATTTACTTACTACTTCTTTTGGCGACATTTTAGTATCTCCAATTCCTACAGTATCAACTATTTTGTATACTTTTCCATCAACCGTGTAATTGTGAATATTAGTGTCTTTGGTTGAACTAACTGAACGATGACTTACATCATAATTTTTAGAATTACTGATTACATTGGCCAAGGTTGATTTTCCACCTCCTGTACTTCCAATTAATAAAACTGTTATTATATCGACATCTTTATTATTTTCATTATCTTTATCATCATCATTCATACTCGAGTATCTAGGTTTGTTTTCGTACGACATTGTTGTTATTTATTAAATATCAAAAACCCATTTTACTTTTATATAAAAATTTTAAAATCATTTGCACGAAATCTCGTCATTTAAAACTTGTTTAATTACTAAAAAGTTTATCTATAACACGTCATACATGCTTATTAAAAAATACTAATCAGTCCTAGAGGCTTAAAATTCTAATTTAAATTTATCAGGAAATACAGACTGGCGTTATAAAGAATTGAATAATTTTTAATATTGTTTATTTTTCTTTCGATCTTTCATTGCATTTCTTGTTGGTTTTCGACCCTCTTTTATTTTGAAATATTGGGCATCTTTTGATTTGTAATCTGCTAACAAGTTTCGGGACAAATGAAATCTTGCGCTTTATGCAAAAACGTCACTTGTAAAAATATTTGAAATCAGAAGGTATTATTACACATGTAAATTCGATAAGTCGGTCATTTATTTATATTATCAGGTAATTTAAACAATTTATACAATTTATTGCCACGTCCAACTTATCAAGTTTACATTTGTATTACTAATACTTGACTCCTAATGAGATTTTAACATGAAAATAATCACAATCGTTTTGAAAATATTGTTCGTATGAGTTTTGTCATTAAAAAATTACAATTGAATTTAGTTAAGGATTGAGTAAATTTCTCATGTCATAATTTAATCGAAAACTTTCCTTTCAAAGAAATATTGAAAATCATAATTAAATAAATAATAAATACCTTCTTAGCTTCAGGATTCAATATCCAGATTCAAAAAGGCCTGAAGACAATCAAAAGTCGTATCGAGAGTTATAAAACGACGTTTTTTTTCTAAATTATCGAATATTTATTTTCCTTATCTTCTAGTTTTACTTTCCTTGTTAAAAAGTAAACCTCTAGAAAATTTCTATTTCGATTTTCAATTTCAGTCGAAAATTTTAGGTTCGATTCAAAATGTTGTGAAACTAATACTAATACTAATACTAATACTAAAATTGACTATCGAAATCGAAACAAAACTATTTCGTCGTAGTCATTGTCAATTTTATTTTTTATTTTTATTTGTCATGTACACATGTAAATTAGATAATTCGGTCATTATTTATATTATCAATTGATTGTTGCGTCCGACTTATCGAGTTCACATGTGTATTTTATGTTTGATTTGTTTCCCTGGATAAAATCAGGTTCCACTGATAAAGTTGTTATTCTCTTGGACAAAATAATGGTTCCCACAAGTTTCTGCTCAACAAACCCATATCAAATCAACTCCTAAACCATTTATTAAAAGCTGATCTACTAAATTATTTCAAGAAAAGTTGCAACGATATTTTACTGTATTATGTGCTATGTGTGATTATTGATTTATTTGTTTCTCAAATTAGATTTTATTAGGCGTTAATAATAAATAATTTCGACCATTTTCACACTATATATACTAGAACATTTTTATCCAATAATTAATTAATTCAATTTTTCTTTTATCTCAGGCAGTCTAATGCATTAAACAACAATTTGACATCACATCAAAAGAAAATAAAATCGAATTTTACTATTTCTAAAAGTATTTTTATATATAGAAAAAGATTTCTTTTTTATTAAATACCAATTTCAAAGGTTACCTACCTTCCTTGTGTATAAGATGTTACATGATATAATTAATTTTTACATGACTATAGATTTTAAATTTATGCGATCTCATAATGTGCCTTGAATTTGCATTGACTATCACAACTCGATACCAATTCTACCTATAAAAATAGATATGATTCCGTAAAGTGATTGCTTTGCCACGTTTCTGACAATTATCTATCTTTTGGATAACGAATAATCTTGATTAATGTCATCAGAGTTATAAAACAATTACATCAAGTCAAAAATAATGAAAGTCAAAACTCTTGACTTGAGTAAAAAAGTAAAATCTTTGACAATCAAATTGATCATTGAAATCGAATTACACTTCCAGGGTTTAGGATCAACATCCAATATCTAAATTCCTAAAAAGTTTCAAGAGAGAACCTATTGTGAATCCAAAACCCAAACTTGTTCCAGGTCCACGGCATTGCCACAAATTGGTCAACAAGTCCCAATCTCAATGTGAAATTTACTGCATCGAAGATATAAGGAGATAAGGAGCATTGTAACCTTCTGTCTGAAAAAGATATCGATGCATATTCCATACCTTTGCTTGGTGCAACGATAAACTTAAAAGTATCCCGAATTTCATTTTATTTTTGGGATTGCTATTTCTCACCACGGTGATGGTCACCACCAGTGAGAAATAGCAATACCTTTATCTTTTTTTTTAAACTTGCCTCGTGTGAAAGTGTGAACTTAAATTTAGCTCTGCCAGTCTGGCTCGAGTTTATTGTCGCACTTCTGCTAAATAATGTATGATAAACTTTGGGCTTTAGTCATTGCCATGACTAAAGCATTGGTTTCTCACCAAATGCATTCATTTTCGAATATTAAAATTGTACTTTTTTCGTTCCAGCCACCCGTCACTTTTTTATTAGCAAATTTGATGTCGAACAACTTGTCTATCTCAATGATCATTATTTTCTCAACTAATATTTTGGAAGTTATTTAAAGTTACAATGAAAACAGGAGATATTTTTATCAAAATGTAATAAATTTATTTTATAATTCATAATTAAATGAAGCACATTAAAAATTCTTAATATGGATTCATAGAACTTATATAATAATAAAATTTTTCTTTTAGTTGCGTAAAAGCAATTTGGTATTTATTTTTATTGTTTTCTTCTGAGATACCGCTACTAGTTGATGGATTATAAACCACTACCATTTGCCTTTTCAAATCTTCAAGCTCATTTTCTAATTTTTCTATACCCGTCATGTACTCTTTTATTCTATCATTTAATTCAACTAAATTTGGTGGATAATGAATCTTTCCACAAATATTTAAATGGTTTAATATTTTTTTTCTTGATTCTTTTCGGGTTTCTTCTGCACCTTCCTTAGTACGACGTGTTATTGGTGGATTATCTACATGAATAACCTTTTTACATTCTTTAATTATTGTAGAAAGTTTGTCATTTTCCTTAATCATATCTAAACGATCTTGTTCACACTCAATATCATCTTCAAAATCTGGAAAATTAGTTCTAACTATAGTTGTAAAATTAACAATCTCGACCAAAAATAACTTCTAATAAATCATAAGCTTCAATTTCCTCTTCTCTAAATCTTCCATTGGTGACAAATAAAATTTGGTTAAATCCGTCTTTAATATCATCATAATCAATATTTTCTGCAAATTTACGTAATATTTCTTGAGGGGTTAACCTTCTATCACCAAACCCCATTGTATCAATCGCTTTCATATTATTAATATTATTGATTACATTAGCTAAAGTCGTTTTCCCACTTCTTTTTCTGCCAAATAACAATACTGTTATAATCCTAACTTCTTCATTTTCAGGTTTCTTATTTGTTTCTTCGTTTTCATTTGAAGGTGTTTCATCTTTAAATGTGTCTAGCAATGTGCCATTATTTTCGGCTTTTTTATTTGTATTCAAAAATTCCATTTTTTTTATTTCCATAAATTAAAAAAAACAGTGTGTGTATATATATATATATATATATATTGTTGATTACAAATACAGTCGACCCCTCTATAATTCACACCCCTTGGGACTGGGAAACAAGTGTGATTATAAAAAGTGATTATAAGGAGGTTTTCTTTATAAGTTCATTAGTAAGTAGTTCCAAGCATGATGTTCTTATAAAGGAGAATGACTATGGATGAGGTCGATTGTACTGATTTTAAGGACAAATTTAAGTTTGGTCCCGTTTTAACCAAATAGGGAAAATTGTTTTTTAAGCCTTTCAAATGGCGCTAACTTGTCACTATTTGGTTTTTTTTTAATATCAATTTGGAACGGTCCCTTAAATGGTTTTTCGAAATAAATTTTTTTTTGTAAACTAATACTAACAGGGGATTAAAAAAAATTTTGTACAATTAAAGATCAGTTACATTCTCGTGAAGGACAACAAATACGCATTTTTTCTGTGAATTTATCTCATTATTATTTTTTTTTTAAAAAAAGCGAGGGGATAAAGCACGCAGGAAATTCTCCATTGAAAGTTGAAAAACTTGTTCACCCACCTAAGGTTGCTTGCCGAAATCTCTTAATGACTGCCGAAACTCTGCTGAAACTCTAATAAACAATTAGTGTGTAACATGTCTAAACTCTGCCAATTGGTTTCCGGAGGAGTTTTGGCAAGCAACCATACACTTCCCGAGTAAGAGCTCGTTTGCAATTAGGATTAAAGAATTTGGTCATGACTTTATGTATTTCTCGTGATTTTCTTTGGCATAATTTTAATAATTGTGAAATTGGTTTCGCTTGATGCTTGCCTTCGATAAATATAGTCATAGTGTATAATAAATCACGATTATCATAAATTGCTAAATGATCCTGGAACATGAAGTGTGTTTTGATATAAAGTTTATATGGAGGTGTGCTTTCTAATTGAAAAATGAATTTTGAGATCGTTTCTTTCTATTAAAAAAATTCATATGGATTTTGCAGAATATAAAATGAATGAAAACTCAATTTTAGTCCGATAATCTTAAAGCCAATTTTTACTATCATACCATATACATTATTTTTATAAAAACATAAATCAAAAAAATATGAAATACACAAAAATTGTAATATAAACTAATTATTTTATAAAATTATGCACCCTCCTTCTAACTTCTTAATTCTTTCCTCAAGTTTTCGTTGTTCATCCGCTACTCGTCGTTGATTTCGTTCTTGTCTTTGTCGCTGCTCACTTGCTTCATTCAATTTTTGTCTCAGGTCATTTATTTCATTCTGTAATTTTTCTTTATGCGTCATAAAACCTTTTAATTTTTCATTCACAATTTCTTGTAACTTTTCTGGAATATAAACTTTTGTACAAGCGTTTAAATAGGCCAGTAATCTTTTTCTTGATTCTTCTCGGGTCTCTTCTGCACCTTGACTAATACGACGTGTTATTGGTGGATTATCTACATGAATGACCTTTTTACATGATTTAACAAATTCAGAAATGTCATCATTTCCAGAAGCCATATCTTGGTAATCCTTTTCACATTTGGCATCGTCGTCAAAATCAGAAAAATTTGTCCTGACAATAGTTGTATACTCAAAAATATTTTTATCAAAAGCGGCTGATTGTAATATTTCAAAACATTCAATTTCTAGATCAGTAAACCTTCCATTAGTAACAAACAAAATCTGGTTTATTCCATATTTAATAGCTTCAGCAGCCATAACCAATTTGTTAATTATTTCTTTTGATGACGTTTTAGTGTCTCCAATTCCTACAGTATCAACCATCTTGTATACATTTCCATCAATTGCATAATTGTGAACATTAGTATCTTTGGTCGAACTAACTGAGCGATGGCCTACATCAAAATCATTCGAACCGCTGATTACATTTGCCAAAGTCGATTTTCCACCTCCTGTACCTCCGATCAATAATATCGTTATAATATCGACAGTTTTATTGTTTTTATTGCCTTTACTATCATTCATATTTGAAGAGTAAATTTTATTATTTATCAAATGTCAAAAAATCACTTTGTTTATTTATACCGCTAAAAATTTTAAAATATCCCACCCCAAAATTTTTTAATTTTAATTTACAACAATATCATGTCTATTTGATTATTAAAATTTATCTATGGCATGTCATCAAAAAATATAAGATCAGTCCTGTTTTATTTTACGAGGCTTTAAATCTAATTCAAATTTATCAAGAAAGTTTTTCCCTTTATATAGTTAAAGGAACTTTACAGAAACTCGCATTTTGTTTGAGATATAGAAAAGATATCTTAGAGTTATGTCTGAGATACATCATGACGATGTCTTAAAGATATAGTTATGTCTGCCATAACTATATCATAATTATCGCATATAGATATCTTTAAGATTTTTTTATTAAAAATTGTTTACTCAAAATGATGACTTTACGAGTTAATAAAGTTTACTGTAAGATTTATTATATTTTTATTTAAATGTCATATAGTTGTTTTTTAGTTACTACAAAGATAAGGTAAAGATATTAAGAAAATATCATTAAATTTTATAAAAGATGCACCCTGTAAAAAATATACTCCGTGATTGGTCTCTGTACACCACCAGATCTAAAAATAATTGATAGTATAATTGTTATTACAAGAATATATCAATTAGAATTTTTGATGTTGAATTTTCTACCTATTTTCTAAAAATAATAAAATGTGGCCGCGTAACAATTCTTCTGATCGTACACCGCCAGATCTAAAAAAAGTGATTAATAATTGATATTACATATAATTGTTATTACAAGAATATATCAACTAGAATTTTTGATGTTGAATTTTCTACCTATTTTCTAAAATAATAAGATATGGATGCGTAACAATTCTTCTGATCATACACCACCAGATCTAAAAAAAGTGATTAATAATTAGTAGTATAATTGTTATTACAAGAATATATCAATTAGAATTTTTTGATGTTGAATTTTCTACCTATTTTCTAAAAATAATTAAATATGGCCGCGTAACAATTCTTATGATTGTACACCGCCAGATCTTACAAGAATATATCATAATTAATAATGATTTCGTTCAACCTTTGGAAAAAGAAATACCTTTTAATTTAATTATATTATTACATTTCTAAATATATATATAAAATATTAATGTAAATATTTAAAAAAAGTCATGTTACCATTACGTGGGTCCATAAAACTATTTTTTTTTATGAATCCCTCTAAAACTAATTAATCAACACCAGATGAGATCTACAAAGCTTGGAAAGCAAGTTTTGTAAAATATACTTGATGAATGCTTTATCTAGTTGCATGATAAACGAGTTTGATTATTTGAAAATGTCATATAAGTATTTAAAATCCAAAAAAAAACGCTCTTTACCTATTACCATATATTTTTGTATCTTGGTAAATACTTGATCGAATTGAGGGTCTTAGATTCAAAAGAAAGCCTGAATTCTATTGCACATAATATTCAAAACTTATTTATAGTTAATATTTAGTATATTGATTTTAAATCACAATTCATTGACGCATTTTAATAATAATAATAATAATAATAATATTAAATATCTCTTTACATTTCTCTTCTACTTTTTTGACAATTGGTATATTACTGTTGCTTGCTCATATTATTTAATTATTTTAATCGTATTATTTATGTAGGAATTAAATGTAAAAGAAAAAATTTTAAACTGTATAAATATTATAAATATTCATGGCAATATAATTATTTGCATTTATACTTGCATTTGGACGCGTCAAAAAATTTTACTATGATGCAGATCAATTTTATTATTTTGGGAAATGTCACGCGACTAGATAATAATAATGTATTTCCGTGTGATTTCCGTATTAGTAATAAAGAGATAGATTTCGGGTATAGATGTAACTTCGGTAAATCGAGGTTTGTTATATAGAGGTTTTACTGTAGATTAGTTATATTAGGATCCTCCTCGTAATTATTTTCGAAAGTTGCAAATGGCCTTTAAAAGTTTAACTGCCTTCCCACATACGAGCGCTGCTCTACTGATTTTTTATTTTTCTAAAAAATCTACGCTTTTTCTAGTTTTATTGTTTTACAACTTGTGTAACATTCCTTTGTTTATTTTCAGGATCATTCATTTCCGTATTCTATTATAATAATAATCTTCCCCAGCGAAAAAGCACGGCCACGTATTTTTTTGGGAGGATGGCGTTGGGATACCTAAGATGTTACTATATCTGAAATTTTAGGTTGAGAATTTTTAATTAGTAGTAAAGGGTAGTTGTCGTAGTAAAACCTTGAGTTCTTGCGATTTATACTCATAGCCACGTGACAGACTTTATTTTCTTGAAATAAGGAGGATCAAATTAACCCAATTTGGAATATTTAATTTAATTATTATTATATAGAATAATGAAATAAAAAATTTTTTTCCCATACTTATGCTATCTCTCCGTATGAACGATTCGCCTGCTTCTATTTTTTTTTAATGACTCTACCTACCATTATCAGTTGTCTTCGATTTCCATTTCAATATATAATAATTATGTCTTATTGACATGGGTCAGTTAATAGCTCACGTTTAGAATTACTAATAAAATATACATATAAAACAAAATACCAGATAGAATTCTTTATTCTTTTCCTTAAATGGTGTGATTATATGGATTGATTATGATTTAGCCAAACTGTTGTTTTATTATTCAACGTGTTAAAAGTAAAATAATATGCTTCAAGAAATATAATATGTGGCGCTATCAGTTTATTCAAAATAGTAATCACAATCTTATCTCGACACGGTAAAGAGATATTTTATATCCAAAGAATATTTTTATAGGAACAGAGATTTTTTTTAATAGATAATCGTATTATTGTGAACCAAATAAATCAATATCACGTGAAAGCACATCTTCTATATACATAGCCTTTGGACCCTGGATGATTGTGACCTTGTTATTATTATTATTATTATTATTATTATTATTATTATTATTATTATTTATTATTATTATTATTATTAAGGGAATTTGCAACCTAATTTTCAAAAATAGCAAGAAAAATTTTACGCGTATTAGTATATAATTCCCTATTATTATTATTATTATTAAAAGTAACGTGTTTTAGTGGCACGTGATATTGTCACTTACTTTCTTGGTACTATTGGTTGTACAATATGATTAATGAAATTTTTTTGGAGGGAAAGTAATTAATATATATATATAACCTTAAAAAATAATTATTAAAAAACCGAGAGAGAGAAAACGAAAAATATTCTATAATAAGATATTATTATATATAAATATAGAATACAAGTAAATATGAACTTGTGTGTGTTGTTTGACATTATGCAAGATTTTAATTAATTGTAACTTTCAAAATTAATTGATGCCTCTCTCAAATGATTCTTAATAATAATTAGTTTATTATAATCAATAAGATTGATATTATAGTTAATAAGATTATTGTAAATTAATAAGGTTGATAATTATAATATTAATATAATTATTGACTATTGGTAATTTAACTGTTAATAAATATTTGTTAGATTTAAGCATATTATTATTATATACACAATTACATAATATTAAATTGATATTGAAATAAAATGTATATTTTTATTAATTAATTAATTAATCATTTATATTACTTTTTTTTTTTCAGAACACATACACACACACGTACGCACGGTTGCCCTACAATAAAATCATAGTGCACAAAAAAACATCCGAGAATTAATGAGCATCAGATGGATGTTGATGTTTTTTAGTGCCTTTGATTATTATATTATAAAAATTGTCAATGATTCTTTTTAAATGATGGATGTTGATAATGACGACAAGTTATTTATTATTCGTCGTATATGGAAAATAAATCTTGTCTTTTTAAATTTTTTTCTTTAAAAAGTTCCGAAATAAAACTCCCAATTTAAACTGGAAAAAATCAATCAATCAAGTATTACATCATATATATGTATATATATATATATATATATATATATATATATTTATCAATCATTTTAATATCATTATCTAATATCTATTGTGGACAACGGTCCATCAACTGCTTATTATCAACACTATTTTTTACCAAATAAACAAAAAATTGTCTTCAGACATTAAACCAACCAATTTTTTTTAATTTTCTAATTTGGAACAATCGTATAAAATATAATAATAATGTGAGTGTGCATATTTTTATATCATTTATTCTTATTATATTATTATTATTTATTATATTTTATTATTATTATTATTATTTATTTAATGTACAAAACGCCGTCTAAATGATTTTTACAAATAAAGAGACTGGAAAGACTTGGAGAAGAAATGGATGGAATTATGTGCAAGTCGAACAATGAAATAGAATGTAAACAAAAAACCTGTAAAATTCAAGTTTCAATATCTTATAATAAACAAATATAAATAAATAATTTAAAAAAGAAATGCTCTTCTTTTTTCTCTTTTACAAAAATATATAAAAATTTTTTTATTTATTTTTCCTCTTTTTTTTTCCTTTTGAAAAAACTTTTTAATAAAAAAAAAAAATAAAGAAATAAGCTTTCATTAACTCTTATTGCTTTTATTTTCCTGTTCAAAAACATTATTATATCATCATTTTATATTATTTAACAAAGAAAAACAACAATTAACGTGTTCATTAATATCATATATATATATATATATTGTACATTATTATTTATTATATTATATATATATATATATATATTATATTATAAAACGATATTCGTCAATTAAAAAAATTTATAAATAGTTAACATTCTTTTACTCACCTTCAAAATAATTTATTACCAAGAGACTTAGAGATTGTTTTAAATTTTAAAATTTAAATCTAAATTCACTAGATATACACATACACTCTTATTACAACTTTACAATCTCTCCAACCAACCAACAAAAAAACCAACCACAACAATTAAACTTAGCAAATAATAAGCCTTTTTTTCTTCAGAAGGGAAAAAAAAGAGGGTAAAAAAAGATTATTCAACAAATAAAAATAAACAAATAGTTGTTTGTAATGGACATCCCATATCCATCATTCTCATCCTTTTCATCATCGCCACCATCATCATTTATAAATAATAGCGAATCACAACAATCCTTTTACACAAGTCAAACAGTTTGTCCAGAATGTAACAATTCTTTACCGTTAATACAAATAGATGGATGGTGTAAAGATTGTGAGAAATTTAATTTTCAAAAGGCATTTTCCAAATGGACAAGTGGGAATGAAAACATTGACAATTTCATCAAGGAAACTCAACTAAAATCAACCAGACCAATTGATTATTTGGAATGGATACCATATGAACGATTCAAAGATATAAAATTTATAGATAAAAGCAATAATGATATTAATAATGGTTATGGTAATGTGGCTACGGCTATTTGGTTAGATGGTCCTAGATGGAGTTGGAACGAAGAAATTTTAAAATGGCAAAGAACCGGTGAAACTATAGTTGCGCTTAAAATAATGGAAAAAACCAAAAATATTAATTCAGATTATTTTAACGAGGTATTTATTTGTCATATTCAAGTTTTTTATTTTTTTTTTTATTTTTTTTTTTTTTAAACTATATTTTTTTTCACTTAAAGCTCAAAAAATGTTATAATTGTACGGCATTCAACAATAATATGGTACATTGTTATGGAATTTCTCGTGACCCAACAACAAAACATTTTATAATGGTAATGGAATACGCTGATCGTGGCTCATTGCACAACTATCTAATTAAAAATTTTTCGGCATTAACTTGGGAAAAAAGAATAAAATTCCTTTGTAATATAGCTTCGGGTTTAAGAAACATCCATAATTCTGGACTAGTGCATCATAATATACATAGCGGGAATATCCTGATATTCTCGGATTATAATGAATACTCGGCCATAACTGATGTTGGACTATGCAATATTTCATCATTACCTTCACCAATCCCAAAATCACCATCACCATCAAACTATGTATATGGTGTATTACCATATTTAGCACCAGAAGTTTTAAAAGGCCGTAAACCAACAAAAGCTTCAGATATGTTTTCTATAGGAATAATAATGTGCGAGTTGACTACTGGTAAACGACCACATCAAGATAGAGCTCATGATTCACAGCTAATCAACGACATATGTGATGGCTTACGACCGGAAATTACCGAAGACACACCCTCGTTCTATAAACAATTGATGCAAAAATGTTGGGATCCTGATCCTGCCAAAAGACCAACCGCTGAAAAACTTTACGACTTGTTAACTTTTAAATCTGAAAAAGTTATCAAACAAATTAGAAAGGCCGAAAAGAGACGCATGATTATGTTACGACAACGTGAACAAGCTCTTATTTCCAAAATGAATGCTAAATATGCTAAATTGGAATTACACAGCGGAAATGTTAATGTAAATGGTGGCGGTGGTAATAATGGATATAACAATAATAATAATAAGGGAAATAGTCTGATTTCAAAAGAATCCAAGATGGCTTTGCTTCAATTAAGCGGTAGGTTTTTTTTTTTTTTTTGGTGAGAGTGGGAAATAAATAAATTGATAAATAACATCATATTTATTTATTTAGAATTACAAAAAGTTCATCAACAAGCTTATTATTCAAGTCGACCGATACCAATTGTAATCACCTCACCAAGAGTTAGCCTCGAAATTTATGGTAATAAAAATAATAATAACTTATTATTTAATTTATTTAATTTTTAAATTATAAAAATCATTTCCATTTCCTTGTAAATATTTTTTAATTTTTTGCATATATGACCTCATTTCTTTCCCTCGATCATATTTATTTAATATTCATCATTGTTTTCTCTTATTTCATATAAAATTTTGTAATTTAATTTTATTTATTTATTTATAATATATTTACAACGCTAATTGGGATTTGGGATTTATTATTTTAATCTTTTGTACATTCTGTTTGTAAATCATCAACCAATCATATATACGATGTATCATAACATAACATATAATATATTAATAAATCACGCACACTCACACGCACTCACACTCACACTCTCACATTCATTCACTACTCGTCCACACATATTATCCCACGCACATTGCATAAAAACATTCACATTCACATTACACTAATCATATAAATATATATGTATATGTATATAGACAAGATATCAGACTTTCATTATTATTATGATGGTGGTAAACCTAAATCAACAACGGTAACAAAAACTACGGGTGTAGGTGTAGGAAGCGATGAGACATCGTATCCATTACATGTGTCGAGTGATTCTTGTGTAATATCTTAAATATTTTTTATATTAATTAATTAGAAATTTTAGAAAATTGGGAAAAGTAGTGGTGAAGTAAACATTTTATTATTATTATTAATATTGTTACTATTATTATTATTATTTTATTTGTGATTTTATTAGTTAATAAATATAGTAAGTAAATTTTTTTAATTTTTCATTAATTAAAATAAAAAATAAAATAAATATATATATTAATATGCAAACATTTAACAAATGGAAAAACATATATATAATGAATGACCAATCATTTCGTTAAATCTCCCCGACCAGGAGAGACTCCCATCGGATATTTTCGATATTGAGAGTGTGTTGAAGAAGTGTTGTCCAAGTATACGTTGATGGTTTGTGTGGGTGTATAGGTAGGTTCTCGAGAAGTGGAATGAAAAATTTGGAGCAATCTTGGCGCACCAGCAACAACAATGGCAGTTACTGAACGAGGATCCCGAGGTTTCATCATGGTATAGTCATACTTGAATGAAAATACATGATGGGTTGACACACTCAACAACACAATGTACTTTGACACTAGTGACCTTGCCGTTGATAATTCTACGGAACCGCGCGTGCCTAGTCTGTTAGAAATACCATCCATACACAAGTTTGTGAGGATCGAGGAGGGCAAGAAATTACATTTGGGCCTGTTGTATGTGAAATTGAAACTATGTGAAATCGAAATTTATAATTAAAAATTTTGGGTGTTGGAAATTGAGTGCGGGGCTTGTGTTACATATTGAATTTAGCCAATCAAATTTGTTCTTCTGGTAGAAATTTTAACGTTGATTGGCTAAATTCAATATGTAACACAAACCCCCGCACTCAATTTCCAACACTGGTGGGGTGTTTGGATATGAAATTCTGATTGGCTAATTTGAATTTCACATAGATTTCATTTTCACGCACAACAAGCAAAATTCATCAAGTTGTGAGACAGTTGATGACGGTGGTTGTGATGGGAAGTTGTGATGATGATTGAAGTTGTGAGTGTGACGTTGATGAAGATTGTTTATTTGATCTTCTTTCCTAACATGCATGTTCTTTTACATGATGACTTCTTGTAGCACCGAGTTTTACCCACGTTCTTTTTATATTCAAATATTGACCAAGCTCTTGGTGGGTTGTATTTTATGAGCTGGATCAATTTCCAACATGGTCTTGGTACTGTTTTAAGGTTATGTTCCTTTTGTGAAAGAGCACGTATAACTTCCAACAACATCAAAACCAGCAAAATCATCGTTTTTGCAGAATCACTTTTGCATTACATCTTTTTCGCATTTTCTGTTCCTGCATTAATTGCGTCAACTAATTTATTATACATGTATCTTTCTCCTCCATCAGTTTTAATCAGCCTGAAACTGGGTTGTTATAATAGATACAAAAGGGATCAAAGGTTTGATTGAGTCGCCAAAATACGTATATATAAAGAAAGCTTAAATAACATTCACCAATAATATGGAGCATGCTGCAACAAAACCAGACAAAGTGGACAGTAGGATTTTGTTGACATAACAATCTGATCATCTGGCTTGAAGATCCAAAGACTATACAAACGGGTAATAGCAAAAATATAATTTGATATGTTTGACCCATCATTATAGCACATAAATCAGTCATGACAAAGTAATTTAGTTGAATTTCCTACTAGAGATAAATTCAATTTCCATATTCTTAATAGGAAATATTTTGGTTGTCAATAGATTTGACACAGCTATGGTTGCTTACCGTGATAATTGCTGAATCTGAAATGCCAAACTCTTATAGAAAAAAATTAAATATTTTCATCCGAATTCCATATTTACTGAATCAAGCGCAAGTTTATTATTATAAATTTTTTTTTTTCATAAAAATAAAAAACTTCCTTTTAACAAAAATATCAATAATTTTTAACAATAATCTAATTCTGGATGCTTTCTTACATATGAAGCCAGTGTTGAGATGGGTGTTGTACTTTCATATTTGGTTGCTAATTTTGAGACCCTTCCTGAAAAAAAAAACAAAGTGTGATGAAATCATAAACAAAATTTTGTAAAAAAAGCAAAGATTAAAAATAAAACATTTGTATATTTTTAACTCCATAAAATGAGAAATTATAGACATTAACAACAGAAGTGTGCATTTATCAATCGCTAACTTTTGATTTGAGAAATTCAAAAGATCTATATAGTCCATCAAATTTCAAATCAACAATATATGAATCTACATTTTCACCTAAATTATTGAATGGTTTTGTCAAAATTATAACAAAATCAACAGTAGACAATATCAACAGAAACATGTAACCATATTTAAACAATAGTTGCTATATTTGGATAGCCCTTTTCTTTTATCATTTTGTTTATAGAACTTTTCCCTCGTTTAATGAAATATTTTTCTTTTGTAATGATGTACATCCGATTGGTTTCATTTCACCATTTAATATGGAAGTATGATATCACTTAGACCTTTATTAAGTAACTTATAAATTTATCACCGCAAAATATTGGTTTAATGACGGGATCCTGGAAATTAAAACGGTGCTTGACTTCAGTGTATTTTTCCGACCTTTTAATTGGTAAATCTTGTCTTTTAAAGTGTATTAAAAAAATTAATTTAGTTTCTTCCGATTATTATTCTTTGTAATAACAACAAAAGGTATAATACCTACAAACTGTTAAATATTCCAACTCATTTGTCAGCTATTGAACTTTTTTCAATTATATTCCAAATCCAACGAAGAATGGTATAATGCATTGGGTAAAGTTGATGAGATTGATTGAAACAATATTGATTTTTAATAACATATGGATATATGGATTGCTACCAGGGTTAGAAAATGTGTAGTTTATTGGTGGTCTATTGGTGATCCATTGGGTCCATTAGTGTAATATTTTAAACTATATTTGGTGTTTTATTAATGGCAATGGACCAGCCCTGGTTTTCACACATCATTATTTAATGCTGTTTGATGCTTGTACTGTGTAAACTAATAAGTGTGAGCAGTATAGGAGAAGAATCAAAAGTTTTATGTGAACGTATCTCTTCAATTATTTCATTTTTGTCAATGTATTAATATTAGTCAACAATTCTTTATACATTTTTTTATCAAGCTCTGAGTAATAGTAAAGATAAAGATAAAATTAAATAAAAAAATTATATTCTAACAATTGATAGTGGACGAGGAAACCTATGGTGGCGTGCAGAACACCTTGTCTAGTATCGATACTTTATTTGGTAGAGCACAACAAATGACAACACGTCGAGGTGACCCAGGGTGGCGCGCAGAGCACCCTGTCTAGTATTGACTTAGCTCAAAGCCAAGTTGTATTGTCAACCTTTTATACTCTTATGCAAAGTCTTGGATGAATTCTTTAGTAAAGATGCCTTGTTGAGGTGTCATATTTTCGTTCAATCTCATCTACGTGTTTCTTGTACTTGAAGTTCTACAATCCTATAAGCACAAGAAGTAAATGATAAGCAATTTTTAGACACGTAATCAATAAAGCCTAAATAAGACCAACCATCAACAGGGCACTCGTCGAAAATAAGAGCTAAAATCTGATAGATGATATTCAATGAAATAGATCAAACTACTGTTGATCTGAAAAAATAATTACGCTAATGAAAAATCGAGTATGGTGCCGATCATCTAAAGTCAAAAATTTTGGCTAAACTTTAAAATGTATAAGCTCAATGACCATGCAAGATAAAAAAAAAACTCTCTATAGTTTTATTCTATAAGACATAAGGAAAGATGCAATAGAGTTTTTTTACTATTAAAAAAAAATTTCACCGCTGATCATTACTATATTTAAAGAATATTTTCACGATATAAAGAAGTATCACGTGATAGTCGTAACTCGTGAAATTCCACTAAAACAGATTCGGGAACTCTTCTATGAGAGTGATACTTTTTAACTGCAAAAATAGCAGCTTTACCAGAAGCCCATCTTATAGGCACTCATAACCTATAACATCTTCTTGCAAATTTACGAATTTTACAGAGAGAAATAAGATTAAGAGCCAATGACACATTTTGTTGTAAACCTTCCCAAGATTCTAATTCTGTAGTTAAATATAAATCTCTCCAGTTATCAGATTCAATGTATTGATGGATCAACTCTTCGATTTCTAATCCAGGTTCATTTACATCTAATTCATTCAAAATGTTTGTGTCAATCTGAATATATTCATCTGTAATGGGTTTAATAGTTTCTTTCATTTTTTTAGTTTCACGAGCTTTTTGTAAATGTTGATTTCTTTTATTCTGTTTAAGCATTTTAACAAAAAAAAAAAGAAAAAAAAGAATTAAAATTTTAGTTCCATAAAAGGAATGATTTTATAGAAAAATTTTACCAATTGGCGCAGCACCATAGCATAGTTAAAAATCCTTTTATGGATAAATCTGCGTTAGGACCGGGGTCTTGTGTTAATGTATAGACTATTGCTTCATATATTTTCCTATGATTAAAAGAAAAGCCTTCTTAATATCTTATTTCCTTAACATTAATCTCAAATATGTCAAAACGGCAAATATGGATTCAGCTATTATGGAAACTTAGGGTTGATTGTAGGCGTTTGCTTAAATCATTTTCAATGTAAATCAAGTAAACCTATTTGTTCACTTTGCCGCATATAGTTTATAAATTTATTATAATAATAAAAAGAATTATTCTGTTTTAATATATATAATAATAAAGCCAAAAAATAAAAAACCTAAAAAATAAGTAATAACAATAAAGGAATATTAACTAATATTATTAAATTAAATATCAATCCCTTCTTTCTTCTCATTAACCTTCTCAAAATCAATAAATCAGTAAACACTAAACCATCCCTACATTATATATCGTCATTAATTATTCTTTATTAAAAAAAAAGGAAAGAGATTAAAATTATAATATTAATTTAATAATAGATTAAAAAAATGAAAATTTAAAAAGTTAAATCTTTTTGTTTCTCCTCTTCTGATGTACTATCTATCTTAAATGAAAAATAAATTTTATTATTATCATCAATTAGTAAATATAATTATCAGAACGTTCAAAAATAAATCCTTTAATAATTTTGAATAATATTAACCCCAAACGACCACTTTTCCTGAACTGTTGCCACCAGCGATCAAATTAATTTTAGGATGGAACGCATTGACCGCTATTCATATTCAAAATTCAAATTAGCGAATTAATTAGTTAAATAATTTATAAATCAAAATAATTATAACTTAATTACAAGGTATAGTAGTTAATCGTGGATCAGATAAATTCCAAATCAAATCTCCTGTAACTCCAGAAAAGATATCTGCAGACTTTTTCATATTACCAACAACAAAGTGTGGATGTAATTGTGCATTGGGATTCCAAATTGAACGAAACATTGTAACCCATCTTTTTACATTATCGTAATTATTAATAGATATATATAAATATACATGCTTATATATAAATTAAATCATATAAAATATGATGTGTCCATCTAGATTAATACAGATTACTTACTTTCCGGTGAAATTGTTGTGTGGAATACGTATTCTTTCCTCCAAATGTTTTTCTTCATTCAAATCAAATATCCTTATCAAACTATCAAACCCTGTTGAAACAACTTGACTGCCATCAGGACTCCATTTAGCACTGGTCATAGAATTACCAAAGTTAAAGATCTGGAGCTCGGCTGGTCCACTTGATTTCATTTTTCTAATATCCCATAACCTAACAGTTTTATCGAGTGATGCTGTGACTAATAGATTGGGGTCAGTTGGGTTCAACGATACACAATTAACCTTACTACCATCATGAATATCAAATTCAACGAATTTAGATAATGACTCGCGAACATCTTTAGCACCAATCCATCCATTATTAGTTACAAAAATAATTCTTTTGGCGTACATATCCATGTCAAAATCATTTATAGTGTATGTTGAATTGGATACAAACGCTTCAACAAATTTGGGATTGTTAAGATCCAAATAACGGATTGTTCCATCGTAAGAACATGAGTAAAGACAATTTGAGTCGACGGGAGAGTACTTAATTGAAGAGATTGGGCCGGAATGAGCATTGAAACTATATGTCCTCGGATGTGGTTCATTTTTAATCACTTCTTTATCATTTACATCCCAGAAGCCCAATGTGCCTTTTCTATCGCCTGCTGCTACCAGTATTTTATCAATTGCCGGATGAATGGCCATAGCATAGATTCTTTCGTAGGTAACCTTGACTGATGGCCAATAAGTTTTTATGCTAAATGATCTGTACGTTGATCTAACTGATTCTAATCCACCAGTTCCACCTGGAATTTTTTCATAATTAATATCTACATTTTTTACAATCTCCACCTTAAAATCTTCTTTATATTTTGATAAATCTGATAAAATTGCTATAAATTTATTAGTATCGTCTTTAGAAGTTTCATCAGATCTAATTATATCCAATTCTAAATCACCCCTTCGAACAACACGTTTCTCCTCCACCATTGGATACAATGAACTCCTGGTTTTTCTTTTATTTGTACCATTATCGACATCATTACCTTCTTTTACATTAGATTTTTTGTTTTCTTGATCAACTGGTTCTTTACCACGTATACGTAATGATTTTCTGGTTGGTTGAGTTGGTATTTTGGGTTGAACAGCCTTTTTGGATTTGTTATAATCTGGTTTTAACTTTTTAGCTGGTTTTAAAGAGTTAACAAACTCTGGAATACTTAGTTGATTAAGAATTTCTTGATTGCGTCGAATGTTTTCAAGTCTTTTACGTTCACTTTATATCACATTTAAATATAATATTAATATATATTACCCATTATAAACGGTACATACACGCGTATTTAACTAAATTTTTTGTTTCAATGAAAATATTGCAAATAGTATAACTTACTATTCATTAAGTGTAGAATCTGAATTCATCTTATTATTATTTACTATTATTTTTTTTGTAATAGTTGTTGATTAATTAATTATTTTGACGAAAAAACGCGAGAACATTATTTTTTTTTTGATAAATTAAGAAAGTTTGTACTTTATATATTTCCTTTTATAGAAAAATTCGGAACGATTAATAATACTACTATTACTATATATTAATGAGGTAATTAGTTTATTACTATTATTATTAATATAATGATATTTATTATATTAAAAAAAAAGAGCATCTAATATTATTTTTTATTTATTTTTTGTATATGTAAATATGGAATTTGCAATTAGAAAATTAATAATATCAGACTAAATTTTTATCAAACAAAAAAAACATAATCAATTAGAAATATACAAGTAGATATCATAAAATCTTTATATAAAACATATAGCAAGAAAGAAATAAAAGAAGGGCGGTGGAAAGAAATAATCAAGATCAAGAAATATTTATGATAAATTGATAAATATAGTATAATAAATGAAATTTTTTTAGAAAGTATTGTTTGTATATAACAAATGCTAACACTCACCATTGAAAAAAATTTTCGAACTAATTTTTTTTTCTTATATTCACTCATTCAAACTGATACTCACAAACTAATCACTCACACTCATAATCATGAACTTGTTGCTAACTAAAAAATCATTTTATAATTGTATAATTAAAAAAAGGATACAGTATTATACTTGAATTAATATTAATATTTTATTCATTTGTTTTGAATGTTAATTAATATTCTACAGGATCATCCTTACTATCACCAGTATTATCATCATCATTATTATTATCATCACCACCCTCGTCATTATCGTCATTATCATCATCACCATCGTCACCATCGTCATCATCACCGCTATCGTCATCATCGTTGTTGGCGGAAGCAATAGCAGCAGTGCTAGCGTCAGCAGAATCGTCATCTTGTTTCTTAATGGTGATATTAGCATTAGATTCTTCATCATTGTTCATATCCTCGTCATCATCGTCATTATTTTTATTGTTATTATCAGCGGAAGCAATGTTAGCAGCGTTAATGTCAGCAGAGTCATCATCATCTTGCTTCTTAGTAGCAGTAGTAGTAGTGACGGCAGCAGTAGTGACAACAGCAGCAGTAGATTCTTCATTGTGAATATTTTCATCATCATTTTTTTTATCATCATCATTATCAGAAATAACATCTGCCTCATCACTATTATCCACATTATTATTGGTGTCTTTATTTGCCAAAATTGCAACCGAAGCCAATGCCAATTGACGTTTTTGTTCAGCTATTGTTTCTAACATGACTTGGGATAATCTAGCTGGAAGATAATAAAGAGACGGTTCCGTGGCGGTAGAAAGAAAGTTTGCTAAATTTTTTTTCTGAGTCGTCCAACAATCTCGCTACATTATTATTAATCATTAAATTAAGTAAATAATTGCTTACAAGCATGCAGTCGTATAAATAAGCTTTACATGATATCTTACAAGTTCGTTTATTCTCTTTTGTTCTGCTTCTCTTTTGTCTTTAGCCACTTTTTCTTTACGTTCTTCCTCTTCTCTTTTCATTTTTTCTACCAATTCTTCATGATCCTTCTTTAATTTTTCTTTTAATTTTTGTTCAATTTGTTCTCGTTTAATTTCCTAATAATAAATGACGAAGAAGAAAAATTTTAATTAATAAATAAGCTTGTTGCTTTTATTTTTTTTGCTAAAATGACCTTAAATAAATAATTCAATTGAATACACACAGCCTCGCTCTTATTTTGACTTTCAGATTTAAATTTTGTTAATGTGCCCAACAAAACTCCAAACATTCTTTGCCCACGTTTTTTTAATTCAGAGTTATTCATATCTAAACGTGGTCTCTTGCTCTATAATTATAAGATTAGTTCAATTAACAGTAAATGAATAATGAATAACAAAATAACATATTTATTACAGTAATCAACAATCAATTATTAAAAGGGATTTAATAAGTAACCTCTTCATAATTTTGCCTAGTCATATCATTACTTGCACGCCGTTTAGGCAAAGTGTCTTGACGACTATTTCGTCTAGCTGCAGATGTTGAAGGAACCACTATACTTGACGTGACAACTGTTTGACTATAATGGCAATATTATTATTATAATCGTTAAAGTCATAAATATTATCATCAACCATATCGACATCAACATCGACACAATGAAAAAGTAATCATTTAAATATATATATTTATAAAATAAATCAAAGCACCTTGAAATATTTTCAGACGTTGTTTCAAGCCGATCCGCTATTTCTGTAGTCATTGTTTTTATTATTATTTTATTCTAATTCAAAAGAAAGAAGAGTTTCCTAATTAAAATTTATTAAATTAAACAAATTTTTAAAAGAATAAATTAAATTCAAAGTATTTTGGTTTTTGTTTGTTTTTTTTAAAAAAAAAAAGACCCTTTGAAGATGATAACTCTCGTGACTTATAAAAAAATCAAATTTTAATTGGTCAATATAAATGTAAAAAAACATTACACGAAAAAGCATAAAAAAAATTTATATAAATTGAATCAAAGCGATAACGTGTTTTTAATCCACCAATTAATTATTGCTATATATATCAATGCTATTTAATTTCGAATTATTACAAACATTTGGCATATCATTTTAACATTTTTATTTTCTTTAAATCACTCATAAAGACCCTAGGATAAAACTGACAAGCTACCAGCCTTTGTGATTATAATACACAAGGTTGTAGAATCTTTCAAAGTAACTGTTTTTTTACTTTAAAAATCTTTGGTGAAATGGAAACCAAAATTACGTAAGAATTAATGGCGATAACAATAAAGAGCTCCTCCACCTCGGATACATCATCATGATGATAAAAATAAACAACAATAATAGTTTTTTTGTGACCATGTTCTTGAATGGTAGGAGGTTTCCAGCAAAGTGTAGAAGGCCATCCAAATAAACGTAAAAAGTTTGATGGAATTATATCGATCATCAGCATAAATTGCAACACTCCAAAAAAAAAAAGGAAAAGAAATATCCAAGTTGCATAAGGCTATTTCCATTATGTTTCAACAATTGGCAGCATCCCTCCTGAAGGAGAATTAAAATGTATAGATATTGGGCCGTTCAGTTTGTGTGGCCTTTAAATTATTATTGGTTGCAACGTTTTTTTTTAATAGCCTTGATTTACTATGATGTTATTAGTCCAATGACAGAAGTATTTTCAGTCAATCATGAAATTTGAAATCCAAAGCAGGCCCTGCCTAAGTTGGTTGTTGCAACATCACATGTATACTCAATGAGATGAATATCATCAAATAACAGAGATTTAGGCAATAAGTTTTCTTATTATTTGTAAAATGCTTCACGTTAGATATCAGATATTAATTTATATATTGATGATATGGACAATGAAAAAAGTCGAATTGAATGAAATTCCTTTTTAAATCACATCTATTCTAAATTAGTGAAAATATTTATTAATTATATTTTAGCCAAAAATATTCACTTATTTTAAAATAATCAACCTATATAGATTATTCTCTTTTCTTATCTACTGATTATTTATCCCGTTCATCTCTTTATCAATCTCTCTTTTTGTCATTCTTTCTTATCTCTACCGATTATTTATCTCATTTGATCTTTTTTTATCAATCTCTTCATGTAATTTTCTATATTCAGCTTCTTTATTTAAAGCATCTTTGGGCATATCTTTAATGATCTGATTAACTTCTTCTATTTCTTGTTCTATTGATCTATCGATTGGGCGATGTGTACGTTTGTTTTGTGTATTAGCATTAATTTCATGTTTCCGTAAATATGTGTACAATATCTAAATGGATATATTACGACAAATACAGTATTAGTATATTATGATAAATTACGATAAATATATTATGACAAATATATTATTTATGCGCTGATAACTTACTTTTTCGGGTGGAGTTGGATCAATTCCTAAATCATGTAGAGTCAACACACCATTACCACCAACAACATTATCTTTACGGAGTAATTTGATTTGATCACGAGTTATGGTAAATAGATTTATTGGTAATTGTTCCATTAATAAACCTTGTAAATAACCAATTGACCAGGGTAATGAAATGATTGGACGTCGTAATCCAGCTTGAGTTAAGGTTAATCGGATTAATTGTTTATAAGTGTAAACTGTAAAAATATATGTATGCATATATATGATTATTTGTATGATTTTGTATATTACTATCAAATATGGTTAGTTGATAATTAAATACTTTTAGGGCCACCAATCTCAAATAAGTCTCCTTTAAAATTTTCAAATTGTTGATCTGCTTTAATTACCCCCTTTGCCAAATCCCATACATAAACCGGTTGAAACCTTGTTTTTCCACCAGCAAAAATTGGCATCACTGGTAAATATTTTGCTAATTTTGCAAATCTCTTTGAAAAAAAAAAAAAAAAAGATAAAAAACCATGTAAATATAATATCAGGGAAAAATTATAATAATAATAATAATAATAATAATAATAATAATAATCATAATAATAATAATAATAATAATAATAATAATAATAATAATAATAATAGTAATAGTAATAGTAATAATAATTAATTTTAAGGTTCTTTCGATATCATTTTGCTTCTTCCTCTTCTTACATTAAAAAAATCATCTTCAGGGCCAAATATTATACTTGGACGAAAGATTATTGCATCAGGACATTCTTCACGTACTGCAATTTCTCCCAACCCTACAATAAAATCAAGATCATAATTGATGATTGATTGATTGATTGATTGATTGATTGATTAGAAAAAAGTTCAAAAATCTAAGATCGTCATACCCTTAGTTTTGGCATAAGGAATATCACTATTAGGATCTGCACCGATAGCACTAATGTGGATTAGGCGAGCATTATTTTGGTGAGCAGCTTTGGCAACATTACGAGCACCTTGATGTTGAACATTTTCAAAAGTAATATTTTCAGAAGGTGTTTCATGCATTATTCCAGGTAGATTGATAACAAGATTTGCATCTTTACATATTTCCGATAATTGATCTGATGATGATGATCGATCTGACGAAATTGATATTGATACAGGTGGACAAATTTGATTGCCTAGTAGTAATAGTAGAATGATAGATTGATGATACGTAGAAAGATAGAATGAATTAATGGAATTAAAGCAACAGATAATCCAAATATGCAATAGTGATAAAACAATGATAATCATGATGATGATGATGATGATGATGATGATGATGATGATGATGATAACAATTACCTAATTTACGAAGATCATCAATTTTTGGATTTCGTGAAGCAATTGTGATTCTTGTATTTGGATTACTGACGAAAGCTTTTGCGATATATTTACCTATGTATATATTACCAATATTTATTATTGTTTTTTAATTAATTAATTAATTTGTTTTTTCTAATTATAGATCATAGATATAATAATATGTATCTTAGATAACGACGTAATACCAACCAACAAATCCAGATCCACCAATTATTATGACTTTTTTGAATTGATTATTATTATTTGTTATTGTTGAGAAGGTGGAGGAGGAGTTGATGGAAGTGTAAGAGATGATGATATTAGTTTTAAATGAAGTTTTAAGATAGAATATCGGTGACAATAAAAAAGAGAAGGGATTTTTTGCAACAGTTTTAGATATGCAAGGATGGTGACGATGTTTTATAATGTTTGGATTGTGGCTGATATGTCGATAATTACATTTTTGGAAATAATTTAAATTATTGTGAAATCCTAATCTTTTTAATATTGATAGCATTAATTATTGTTTATAAATTATTTGAAATTAAAAATTTTAATTTTGTAACATATCTCGCAGATCAATGGAAAACCCAAAATTTTTTTTTATCTTGAAGCATTTTGGGGAGTAAAATTCGGGGTAATGAATGAATTACATGGATATCACCAAAAAAAAATTTTTGTTTAACTTATATATCGTGTAACATTCATTACAGCTATTGATACTTTAGAAGTTATTATTAGTTCTTTTATTAATAATATCATCATACCAGCGTTCATGCAATTAAAATTAAATAAATAATTTCACATAAAACTAATGCACAGATTACCCCACCTTCTATGAACCTGAATGAAAGGCTAAGAATAAAATATTCTCCAGAGACCAATTTTGGGAAATTATCATTTCCAATTTTAATGATCAATGTTGAAACCCATTGGTGCAGCTGCCCAGCCAGACACACTCCTAGAATCGGAAAACTCTATTGTGAGCATCATGATTCGTTAATAGATTTAAAATTCAAAAAAAGAAAAAATGCTAATACATTTGTAAATCATTTCTTAAACAGGAAAAATCCATAACCAATTTTCGAGATTCGTGTTAATATGATCGGTCGCTTGATTTTACGGTCAAGTCCCATAGTTTTCCTAGTTCCCCTTACTCAATAGAATTTTCCAGATCTTTCTACAGTGTAATTTCAAAATTATGAGTTGTAGTTGTGTTCAAAAATGCAATAATTTTTACTCATCCTGTAATCATTTTAGACGAATCACATGACAAAATGATCAGTTGATATTGTCTTCAAATTTTGTTTTGATGGTAATGTTGATGATGGTAAAGATATGTATGAAGATAAATTGTGGTTAATAATGATCATGATTGAATATATTGCAAAACCTACAAGTGCTAATTTTGGAGTTTACATAGTAAACTTGTGACTTAATTTCTCATTAGCAGGGTTACTGTCGCAGCCGGTCAAACTAAATTTGCAAAGTTCTCTAATCAGCCACTCACAGTATGGTATTTTTGTTAGGGAGTGAGTACACAGTGATCTCGATTTAGCGGATACCAATTAAAAATCTCGGTTTTACGGATAAAGTTCAAGAACAGTTCCAAAAAACTTTAATAAAAACCTTCTCAATATAGCGGATATCTCGATTTAACGGATTTTGGAAAATTTTCCCTAATTGCCCAAACTATCTGCTAAATCAAGATTCATTGTGTATATTGCTAATCACAAGTACTCATCCAATAAAAACACCCTTTCCTAAAAAGGATATTCAGCAAGATAGAGAAAACTTTTTGAAAAATCTAATACTAATCATCATTTGTTTATCTTAAGTAAAGTATAAACTGACGATTGGATTTTTCAATTCGGTTGCATAGAACCTGAGATATATCGTTTTAAAGTTCAAGCTAAATTACTATGTTTACTATGTTTGAAAGGCCAAATTGAAACATTGGACTAAACTCGTATGCAAACAGTTGCCTGCAGTATAAGCCTCGTTCCAACGGAATTGCTGGACATATTAATATTAATATTAATATAATTTAAAATCCGTTGAAACAAGGGTTATACTGTAATGTGGATCATTTGAAAACTTGAATTCAGAAAACCTTTTACCAAATTTGGAAAGATAATCAGGTTTTTAAAAATTGAAACAAATTGGATGTGTACTTGTGATCGGTACATACCTTAATAATAAATCAGATGATTAAGTAGGTGGCAGTGAGTCAAGTAAATCACGTATGGCGACCATTCCTTAAATATATGGTCACAGAGGCTCAACCTTGCCAATTAAAGGGACTCGTGTGATTTATGGTGCTTAGGCCGTTCAAACTTAATTATTCGTTTAACATCCCCCGATTTTCAAAATTTCAAACAATTATCAAACACGTGATTTAAACGTGTAACAAAATTATTCGGAGAAACTTTATTATAAACCACGTGACTTTGTAAAAATAGTTTTTCTCTGCCGATCACTAGTGATTGAAGGCTTTTCATTGGTGTTTATTTTGTTTGTTTAAATTCTCCCCCTCTCTTAATTTTCAAAAAAAAAAGGATGTTAAACAAATAACAGTCTTAGGTTTGTATTCACGAATACTGTAATGAGGTCACACTGGGTCACACACTATTAAAAATCAAGTGTTTCAGGTGTGTAACCCCCCTTAACGATTCATAGTATTCATGAATACAATTTGTTTTTTTGGTCTCGCATTTCAATTTACAAGTCCAATAAAAAGTTGAAAGATAGGTGTCTGTACTATAGAAAAACTTCGAGGGCGTTATTAATAAAATTTTTGGTTGAAGTTCATTATCAAATTACTAAAATTTGGAACATAAATTCATAAAATTGGTGTTTGGATACAAATTTCCGTTGGCTAATGCCATATTTAGAAGTATTTACATGATCAGCAACATGATTACAGTTACACCGATCAATATTTTAAAAAGTGAACAGGAAAATTACAGGGTTTCAAAATTTTCAGTGACCAATTTAGTATTAGAAATTTTTAATTTTTTCATTGCGATAAGCTTATATTTGTTACACGTATGCGCATTTTATTATTATTTAATTTTTTGTATATTTTGTATATTCTTTGTATATAGAGAGAATAAAAATTTGGAATTACTGGTTGAACTTCTTTCTCGTGTAATATTAGCAAAATTTCTGAATTCCGTGCAAAAATCTGTGTGTATAAATAACATTTGTGACAATTTCCCACATTATTTATTTATGCAATGTGCAATATAATAATAACCGAAATGAATAGAATGAACAGAGTTTAACAAATAAAAATGCATTTTCCTTTGTCAAAAAGAGAAAAAATCCCAATTGAAAAGTAAAAATTGCCAAATTTAATTTTGCCCGACTCGAGAATTAAATTCTTGCGGAATAATTTATCATATAAAAAAGAATTCTAAAATGAATACAAATGAAAATTAAAAAAGACGAATTTCATTTCTTTATTTATTTTTTTTATTTGTTGTTTATATCAAATGTCAACAAAAATTTCCATGTTGTGATGATGTTAAAATACGTTTAAAAATAAAAAACCTTTTTACTTTCTCATTGTAATTTAAAAAGGAATTGATAATAATAATATCATTTACGGTTGAAAATTAATTTATTATTATTATTGTGATCATTTCATCAATCATACATTAAGATAATAAATAGTATATATATAACTGCATTACGACTCATATTCATTCATACACAACACATTCCTCTTACTCACTAATGCTAAATAGATAAATTTTGACTAAACTTTTTAATACCAATAACCGATAAATATTATATTTGAAAATATTTTTATTTGAAAAAAAAAAGGTTATTTTTTATTTTTTTTTTAATAAAAACTTTTTCAAATTAAAAAAATTAAAATAGATTTTAAAAATTTTCTCTTCGTCTAACCGGCTTTTAGGCGTGTTATAATCATAATCATAATCATAATCATAATCATAATCATCCTATAGAAATACATTTATATAATGTCACGCTCACCAACAAATTCCCTTAGCGGTGGGTATAATCATGAAACTATTTTAAATCTTTATTCAATAACACCAAATAATAATAATAATAATTACGGCAACAACAATAATCGAAATGGTTCCTCGACATCTTTAGATCAAACAAATAGTATCAAGAGTAATGCTAGTAGTACGAGTGGTGGGGATAATTCTATTACCATCAAAAATTATAAATGTCCAGATTCAAAAGATTACTTGAAAAGGCACAAATCCGTTACATTTTCTTACTTGTCAGATCCTAATAATTCCAGTTCATTTCAGCTGGGAAATCTTAACGATTCTGACACCTTCATAGTTGGCGTGCTACATTTAAAATATTCAAAACCAACACATATTAAAAATGTATGCTTGTCTTTGAAAGGTGTCGAGAAAACTTCTTGGCATAAGGCTCAGGCAAGAACAAAAGTTGTTTATGGTGGTGAACATGTTCTTGTGGACCAGACTAATAAAATAATGGAGTTTGGGGATGGTCAGGAGGTGGAAGAATTGGAAATCCCTTTCAAAATCCAATTACCCTACAATTTGCCAGAAACTATTGTTACAGAAACTGGTTCGATAACTTATGTTCTACGAGCCACCGTCAACTTTAAGTCTTTGTTACATCCACCAAATGTTACCAAAATAAAATGTCCCTTGAAACGTGTCATTGAAATTGATCATCAAAATCTTCCCCCCTATAAATTATCTGGCAATAGTAGTAAGTTTAATAGTGTAAGTGGTATCAATAGTCGTAATAACAACAATGATGATGCAATTGAATATGTAATTATGTTACCTCCAAATAAAAATCTTAGCCTGGGCAGTCGCATAACGATACCAATGATGTTAAGATTGTTAAGACAAGGAATTAGTGTCGATAGAGTCGAAATATCATTAAAGACATGCATGGATTTTCAATCAAATAATCATGACGTAACTAAACATGAAGAAATAAATTATCCAGATATAAAAATACAACAATCAGAATTACAGTTTAGTCAACCTGTAATTATCAATAATGTTAATAATGGTATGGCCCAATATCAACATTATGGTGAATGTCATCATAATTTTAATTTATTCATCCCAACTAAAATACAACCAACTTATCAAGGAAGATATATTGGAATAAGTCATCAATTATATATAAAGATTTCTTTATGGGGATTTGAAAAAGATATAGATATCGAGGAAAGTGTTAGAATCGCTAATATCGTTGATAAAAATTTTAATGATTCACCTTCACAAAAAAATGTTATTAAGGATAGATCATCATTATCGTCAATGAATTCAATACCTGCCCGTCCTTCATCTCCATCATCGCCTCCACCACCTCATCCTAATTCACAAACACCTTTTAGAATACCATCAGTGTCACCAACAAGTTCATTGCCACCAACAAATTCATTGCCACCAACAAATTCATTGCCACCGGAGCATTTAATCAATCAACAACATCTTTTACAGAAAATCTTGAGTGATCCTTATTTGATGAGTGCGATTTATGCAAATAATAATAATCCTGGATTTCTTCCAAATCAATATTTTCCTCAATTTCCACTTTATCCTCATCATTACAATTTATTGCCCAATCAGATTCCGCCACAATTAATTCCACCACATCTTAATCATCATCCACATAGTAGTTTACAATTTCACCCATCCCTCAATAATAGCGGTAGTAACAATTTACAACGTCACTCATCCCTCAATCATATCAATAATCGTAATAGTCATAATAACAATGATAATGATGATGATAATAATAATAATCAATTACCACCATTTCAAAATAATTACCAACAACAACAACAAACTATATTAGCATTACATGATTATCATCAACAGCAATTAAATTTACAACGTCAATTAGAACAACTTGATCCTAATAACATCGGTGTGTTTGATCAAGCTACTAATGCTGCTGCTGGCCAACCATTAGTTTATCCACTGGCAACGCAACCGATGTCTCATCAATCAATGTCATCAGCATCACCATCTTTAAACTCTTCATCTGCGTCATCATTTTATAACCAAGCTCCACCTACTCCACCTAATAATAATAATAATCATCAACGTCAACCTTCACATGAACAGCTTTATCGTCGTCAATCACAAGTCTCAATTGAAAATTATTTGAGAAGTATCACTTGCGATGGTAATTCTTCTTACGATAACTATAGTCATAGTAATAATGACAATAATGGTAATGAAGTATTTGGTTCTGGTGTTGGAGATGTTCTTTCTGATCAGAATCAAAAGAGATTTTCAGATCCTATACCACAAACTTCTTCCATAAACTGCAACAACAATACTGCTAACGCCACTAGTGAAAAAAATAGTCCTAGTGTTAATGTTAGTTCACATTGTAAATTAACACCATCGGCTTCACCGACGAACGAGAATTTCTTAGAAACACAAGATAAGAATAGATCAAGTTTATTAAGCAACGCTAATAGTATTTGTGAATCGATTAGAACTCTGTCAATCAATGACGACGATAAAAGTAAAGGTGAAAAGGCGGACAATAATGATAATGGAAATAATGGGCATGAGTTAAATGACACGCTATCGAATGTAACTATAATAACTGCTAGATATACTCCATCACCATATCCAACTAGTCTTTCTCTGCCACCTTATCGTCATGCAAATACTGCCACTTTGACAACTGTGACTTCTTCAGAGTATAATACTAATGATAATAATAATCATGGTAATGGGAATGGGAATCTGGACAATAATGATGGTAATAATAACAATGGTTTAAAATCATAAGGGCTTATAAATTTTTTATTTATATTTTCAATTTTGTTTTTAATATTAATATATTTATATTTTTTTAATTTTTAAATATAATGTGAATATATATTGTATATAATAAATATAATTTATTTTTTATTATCAGTATAATAATTAATTGATTTTCCTTCTGAAAAATTTCATTGAATCTATCAATACCTTTCTTGTCTCTCAACATTTTATATTATTATTACTATGTTCATCCCACCATATGACCATTTAGACAAGCCACGCGACAAAACGACATATTATTGAGATCCTCATAAGGTGTATCATAATTATCAGGACTTGATCATTGCTGATTATAGGTTGAGGTTGATAAAGTATGGCCATCAGTATTACCTGTGAATCAGTTGTTGTCTTCTACAAGAAAATTACATATGCAATATTATATATATCTCTATCAATTTACCTTGCATGTCAGCACTATCAAGAACAGAAGACACTTCAAAAAAAAATTTTTTTTGTTAATAAGAACGAACGAGTGAATTAATTAATTAAACCAATATTGATCATGGATGGGTGTCACAATAGTTAATTGATTGATCCCCTCTCATCTCTTCTAATGATTAATCAAAATATTATTTACTGGCAGTGTAGATTGTTCCGATGTCTATTTTTTCAGGACATTTATTTATAATATCTTTCTTTAATTCCTCAACACTATTGTAAGAATTATATCTTGAACAAACATCTCCATTTAATGTAAAACTAAATTCCCGATTATAAAATGATTTGCCAATATCTAAAAAAAAAAAAAAAATAATAATAATAATAATAATAGTAATAATAATCATAAACCATTATTTATAAATAAAATCAATACCTGTTCCATATAATTTTTCCGTATCTTTTATAATTACGTATGTAAAATTTCTATAGTAATAGGGATGTAATACATTTGATACCATTGTCCTTAATTTGTAAAGAGTTAACAAATATATAGATTGATAAATTGCATCACCCAAGTAATGATAATACCAGGACCATACAGAAATGAAAAAAAAAAAAATAAAATGAGTAAATCTGATATTGATTATAGGCAGGGTTGGTATTGAACAATATCCAACCCTGATTACATGTGTCAGATTTTCATGTACCCCTCAGCATTAAAGAGCCACTTGAATGGTAAAAAGGTATCTTGTGGTAAACATAAAATGGTTCCAATTTGTTTGATATTGGATGAGTAAAAAACTATAATTTAGACATATATATATTATCCATAAAAAATATAAAAATCAAAATCATAATGGATTACATAACTAATGCTAAAGTTGGAAATGAAACTGTAACATGCCTAATTTCAACATCATTTAACTACTCTGTAATTTCTATAGATTTTCTTAAGAAATTAAATTTGGAATATAAAATTCAAAAGATAAAATAATTTATTTAGGCGATACTGAGAAAATACATCCTTTAGGTGTAGCTATTATTCCAATTCAGTTTGAGGATGCAATGTTACAATTGATTCTGAAATGTATGTTTGTGATAAAAATAATCTTTTGAAAATACTATCATTCTTGGTAATGATTGGTTTGGAGGCCTTCATAATTATTCGATTAAATTAATTCATACATTACCATATTGCAAGGAATTAGGAACATATCTTTCTATTAGAAGCTTTGGATCAGATTCTGGGCAAAAACTTTTCAAAAAATTAAAATGCACATATTGTTCTTCTTTTGATCTATATGAGTCATATGATTCTTTTGATGATGCAGATGATTATTTCGAATCTTAATCAAACATCCATTCTGGAATAATTTGTTCTTCTTGCGAGTTTCTCACCTAATAATATTGGCATTAAACATTCAATACATAATGAATTATTACTCTCAGCTAACCTCTCTCCATGTCACTCAATTATTCTTTCATGTGTATTATAATTGTCCATTGGGCACTCAGGATGATTATTAACTGTATTTCTTTGATTTCTTCTTCTTGGATTTCCCCATCTTTGGTGCTCTGCAACAACTAATTCCTAGCTTCATATAAATAGTAATAAAATTCTATATTTGATCTGGGATATGGAACTTCATTTAATGGTATTCTTCTTATTTCTGCAACTCTAGCACGAATTCTTTGTCTTAATCTTGCATTTATGCATTGATTATTTGGCATTTTTTATGATTTCTACATATAGAATTTATTTGTTCAATTGATAAAAAATGATCGGCATTAGTGTAACAAAAAAATTATTGTATACATATAGTGTTAACATTAATTATAATTTAAAGATATGATGTATACATATAGTGTAGACATATTTGTGATCTAATTTTGTTTATAAAAAGACATTATCTTTATTTCTTGAAAGGTATTGATGAATCAGTTTCTGATTCTATATATTTTATTCTGATAAAGTCATTGATTCTCTTAGCCCTTGAGATTTAGGATTTCTTATTAGAATGCTTGATGTAAAGTTACTTCATAGAAGGGTTGGAGATTGAACTCATAGGTGATATCAGATTTCATATGATGATCTAGAGGCTTCTCTATCTAGGATTAGGTATAGCATTCATATTGAAATTTCGATTTAGACTTATAAATTAAAGTAGTAGGTCGCAAATATATATATATTGCAACCTACTTACATTAGACTGTTACCTACTTATGATTAGACTGTTACCTACTTATGATTAGACTGCTACCTACTTATTAGCTGTGACATGTGTTTTGCGTTTGCCTTGTCATTCGAGTGATGTGCATTTTTCGTTTGCCTTGTCATCCGATGATGAGGCACATAGTGCTGAATTGTTATCCTATTTGGTAACCTGAGGATGAGGCATTGGGGTATTCTATATAAGTTGATTAACAAAATCTAATTAATGTCATAATGTAAATCCATATATGCGGATTTTTTTATGGTGCCCCCTTTTTTCTCTAAAAAAGGAAACGGTGTAACAAAATATTTCTTCGTTAGTGTTTTATTAGTATTAGTATTATGAACTT